TGATGTTCCTTTTCTGAAATGCCGTGTTACTTTTACGCCAGATGTAAAAGCTCTATATATATACACACACACACACACACACACACACATATATAGGCTGGAGACTAAATCACTGGTTCCCCTCCAGTTGGATGACAGATGATCAATAAAATAAAAAACATTAATTGTCTCACGCTGCTTTGAAAGCTCTAAATAGAAAACTGCTGATTGCCAGAGCTCATTTATAGCTGACAAATGCTACTACTTGTTGATAACTGTTAGTAAAGAATGAGCCGTTCCTTTCTAAAGACAAGTTCTGAAGTCTCCATTTGGGTTTTGCTGCTGAATGCCAACTTGGCAGGAGCCACAAAACTCACATTTGGGCCAGCACAGAGGGTGTCTGGGTGGATTCAATGAGCGTCAACAGCAGCGACTGAGTGCGGCAGGTTGGGACCGTCAGTCCACTCAACTCTTTTGAAATCTCAAACGAGACTCAAATGAGTTATTGAGGCCATGAAGTGGCAAAAACTAAAGACGACTGCTACTTTAGTTTGAAACCACAGAAACTGTTTCTCATGAGCCTGGTGGTCGTTGTTGGTACTGCATGTAAAGCCAGAAGGTCGATCTTTCATTAATCAGGAAAAACTAAAACGTGCTCCTGAAACCCAAACCGACGCATTCAAACAGCGCGTTTCCTTCGACCAGGAGACCAAAAGCTGTGAGCTGAACACCTCTGAGTGTGAACTAAGGAACACTTATTCCATTATCCAAATTACTGCTAGTTCATTTTGTAAATCGGTGAATCAACTAACGGCGTTATCTCCAGCTGCAACTAACGGAATATCAATTGTGTTTCTGTGGATCAGCTCTAGTTAGAATATGAGATCCTTTGCTAACCAGTAGAGGTGCATTTAATCCTTCAGTGTAAGAGAGAACGTTTAAAGCACCTGGATCTGAGCGGCTTTAGTTTCCAGCCATGACAGCAGAACTGGACCCAACGACCCAGCAGGCAGCACTGTTTTGTCATTTGGTTATTTAGAGCTTAGGTAATTTTCCATTAAGTGTTGACATTACTGGCTCTTTCCACCGCACTCTTCAATTTAAAACGGCACGCATGACGAGAGGCCCGGTGGTGTGAGACACGTCTGACGGTGCACTTTCTCCGGTCGCTGGCCATGACCGTGCAAACCTAAACAAAACAGAAACCGGTCTCTCAACAGAAAACTTTTTACCCAGAGAAGCTTTAAAGTCAGAGAAGAGCCACAATGATCTGTGCCTGAATACTAATAATAAAAACAGTTGCTTATTATTCACATTCTATTATTTTGGCTCTGCACTTGTAGCGTAGTTTGAAATAAGAGGGAAGACAGAATGATCTCAACAGTATTGGACTAATATATTTTAAATGCTCCCTGGTAAAGCTTCGGCGGTTATTGGAGACGTTGTGAAGTAAAAACCAATAACTCTGATCCAAGAACTACACTGCTGCTAACCTCGGAAGGATCGTTCATACAACACGTCTTCAGGTTTGCTCCGTGTAGACGTAGACATCCTGACAGCTGAGCTTCAGCAGCTGAAAGCTCACACATCATGCTGCAGTAGAGTCAGACTACCGATGTGTCACTGTGTTTGAGGATTCATTTAGCATTTGTATCATTGTGTCAGAACTGCAAGATATTCTCTTTTTCTTTGTTGGTCGAACAAAACGCACAACTTATAAACACCACCGTGAGTTCTAAGATGCTGTGAAGTATTTTTTCGATATTTACTGTAATTTTATGGACTCAATAGTATTTGTTCTCAGCGAGGGCCGAAGAACAACACATTCTTCAACTAAGTTGTTCCTTTAATCACAATTCTGAAGCGATAAACAAAACCCTGCGATTCCCATAAGGTACGTGTCCGACTCGCAGAAGAGGAGGATGCATTCTTCTTCTCCTTGCAACACTAATTTGTCATTATGGCAACGGAGAAGAAGAGTGCAAGATAACGGCAATATCCTATTAGAAGAGGAGACGGATCAAATAAAAGAAAGAAATACTGAAGAAAGAATGTGCTGAGAAAAAAATAAATAAAAATCATTCTGAGTGGAAATTTGACACACACACACACACACACACACACACACACACACACACACACATGTATACACAGAGAAACAGTCTATCTCAGTATGCTTTCGGTGAGTGGGGAAGACTGGCTGAGCCTTGGAGAAAAAAAACCTACATATTGCAGTTAAAATATGGAAATCACCAGCGTTTGTCCTCCAGGTGATGACTTGAGAACGACCCACTCCAGAGAGGAGAAAGAAGAAGGCTTCGGCCATTTACATTGTTTAACATGCGGCACAAGAGCAGGCGTCGAAGAATAGAGCTGCTAAAGAATACAAAAGGCTTTCCAGTTCAGCCTGAAAAGCACTTTTAAAGGGGGGGGGGGGCAACAACAAAGTGGCCTGTTGTGCCCGCCCACAGCAGTGCTGACATGCGGCCTCAGGCAGCAGCTGGATGGTGGGATCAGCTCCCCCCCTTCTCTATTAAGGGCACTGTTCAGCCTGGGCTCAGGACGACGCCACGACAGACCGCGCCGGCCGAGTCCATCACCCAGAGCATCAGTCGACGAGCCCATGGTGCACTTGTACAGC